TCCGCTTCATGATCGTGTGGTAGCTGAGGGTCATATCTCCCATTGCATTGGGTACGAATTCATCATATGTGCCTTTGGTGCCTTAGTTCCATGGCTGAAGAAACGACGCTTGACGCCACTGATAAAAAGGAAGGGTCCAGTTCGCCGCCGACTTCCAACCAGGGTCTTCAGCAAAAGGATGCATGCAATTCGTCCGAAAGCCTGTGCGTCTTAACTTCGTCGGTCAGCGGATTGAATTAAGCAATGCAATCTGCGCGCGGGCGCGGGACTTGCTTGCCCGGCATCTGGACAGCTTGCGGTCAGGATCGGGCGGGGCCAAGAGGGCCAGACACATAGCTGGCGGTTCCGTGCATAGTTCACCCAAAGACAAAGTGACACTTCCAGCTGTTTTGGCGGTCCCCTCTTGCCATCCCTCCAATCTTGTTCATGGTATGGGAAGGGTCCAATTCGCCGCAAACTTCCAACCAGGGTCTTCAGCAAAAGGATGCATGCAGTTCATCGTGAGAAAAGACACTATCCGGTCAGACATCGAATCGAATAAATCAATACAATCCTTGGGGCAGGCCTGAGACGGTCAATTACGGAATTACGGAGGTTTACCTGCCGCGTCGGCCGTTACATGGCCAGTGCAACGCACATGAAGGTTGTGCAAAATACCTTCTTCTGAAAAATGTCCTTCCGCCCTGCCGCAAACCTTCAAGGCGCATCTGCGCCCATTGGAAATCTAAAGCACAAATTGTCGGCGCCTTTTGAGTCATAGTTTTCGGTTGCCTTTGAAGTGTACCCCTTGTTGGTATTTAAAGGGAAACCATCTGGAAATCATCCACTTTGGAGGTCACCAATTTTGAGAAACACCCATGAACACATTTTTTGTGGAAGGCTGAAAGGGTAAGAGGCTTGCCACAAACTCGCTCGCACGAATCTTCTGCCACATGGATTCGGAATATCGGGAAGCTGAAGGCATCGGAGGTAGGACATGAGTCCCGTTAAATCCGCTCGTTCAAAGCATCTGTTTCGCCTTCCCCGGGTTCGGGCATTTGATCCATACAACCTGTGTTTTTGGTCGCAGCCTGACAGGGGTGTCCGCTTGGAAGCTCCAGTCAACAGGGGCTTTGGTTAGACCGCTTTCCTCAAGCTGGGGTCTTGGAAAGCTTGACAGGCCTTCACCATGCAAGCCATGGGCCGACGGCCACGCACCTGGCGAATTTTAAGGAACGCGGCGTCAGCGCGGCCTTCGAAGAGTCTTCAACAAAACTCATGGCCTTCCACATGAGCTGTTTTGTTGCTGCACAGCATATGCCAGTGATACGAACTTCCGCGCGGTAGCTTGTACTGCTTTGCCACTGTCCCACCCGTACTTGCATTCACGGGGGGGTTGTCTGTTCCAAATTAAAGATCCTGTAAGCCAAGATGGGAATGCAAGACCTCAGACCTTGGAAACCTAAATTCAGCTTGGCTTCAGAACGCACTTTGGCTTCAGACCGCTTGTGAAGATCTCAGGCCTGCCAGGCTAGCTCGCTGTCTGGTCAACACGCGGCCAATGCGGCCACGCAGAGACCAGCGCTGGCTCAACAGACCCGCTTGCAAAGAGCGCGAGCAACAGCTCCGGTCAGGGGACCGGCTTTGCAAGGCGAAGGCTGCGAACGGTGTGAATACATTCCACAAGAAAATCTGTGCAGCCCCGTGGGGAAGTTGCGGAGTTGAAAAGATGTGCTTTGCTTCAGGCTGACATGGCGACATGATTTAGGAGTTGCAATGGAATGGGCATGTCCGGCAAGCTTGGCCGCTGCATGTTGGGCAAAAGAAAGGGAGGGGGACCGTAGCACGCCTCAAGGAAAGTTGTGTCCATAGCTCGCTTGGGATTTGTCAAAGCAAAGTGTTCACATCCAACCCAATGCAGCGCAACAGGCTGCCACACTTGACTTTTGTTTCAAAGTTCGTGAACAATAAGGTTGGCGCGCCTCTAGACTAACATAGCTGCTGCGCAGAGCTTAGGAATGCCAGGTTCATAGCGCGCTTCTGGTCAAAGCAAAGCGGCCAACGCGGCCGGCTCCTGTAGCGTTGCTAGCCCTAGCCGTGCAAATACCAACCGCCAGTCTCAAACCTTGGAACAAAGCGACCAGAAACAACTCCGCGTGTCAAAAGAAGCAGTTCCCCAGGTCCAAGGCCGCAAGCATGGCGCTATGGCGAGCGTTGCGTGGGTGAAGAGAAACCACGCAACGTAACCCACTGCCGTTGCGCCAAGCTTCACAACTGGTCTCGGAAGGATCAGCATGCCAGACGCGCATAGCTTAGGGCTGCCAGGTCCAGCGCTGGGCTCTGTTCAAGCCAAAGTGTTCACTTCAACGCAGCGGCCACCCACGCTTCAAGACCGCGTTGTGAGGGCAAGTTGGCCCTTGAAAAAGGAAAACAGCACCCCATCCTGCCAGGCCATAGATATCAGAGCGATCACTCTGTGAGCTAGGGATTTCGGGTTCCTTGCTGGCCAAGACACTTACATGAAGCCAACTGGTCCTTGGCAGAAGTTCTGAAAAGTGCGCCGCGGAGCGAGCTTCCAGCCGCTACGGGTCGCCAGGACTTCCCGCAATCACGGCTTTTTAAGGGGTTATCAAGTGTATGATCCCATTTACAACCAAACTGAGGCGGCCAAGCACTTGCGAATCCACGGGGATGACGATTCTGAAATGTGCAAGTCCTGGCCGGTTTGATTTGGTCCCGGCCTCAAGGGCTTCACAAGGTTGGAAAACCCCCAAACTGCTCAGTTTCAAGAGGACTCCGGGTAGGGGTTCAACGACAAGCCGGCAATTTCTGCTCCATTGGGCACCAGCTATGAACACATCCTCTTGGCGGGCAGGAGAATTGCGGTGCACAGTTGACTCCGAATTGGGGCCTTGCCAGGAGAGCCGGATTCCAAGGAATTGTTGGACGAGACTGAGACAACAACTGGAGTAGTCGCCCAGGATAACTTCACATGGGCCAATGCTGGGAAAGCTTGGTGCCAACGAGTGCTTGGGCTGACTCTTGCGCACCGCTGACACTTCGTCATGCCGAAACCCCGGGCTTGATGCAGGCAACAAAACCATCTTGGCATTGCTCATTGCAGGCTGGCATTCGGCACAGAGCGCGTGGTTCCCACTTGTTTGCACAGTGCATTCAAGCTCTCGAGCCGCAACATGCATCAAACATGCACATGTCTCCTGCAAAACCAAACTTTCACGCGCACAGCATTGCAAGGCATTGCAAGGCATTGCAAGGCATTGCAAGGCATTGCAAGGCATTGCAAAGCATTGCAAAGAATTGCAAACCATTGCAAAGCATTGCAAAGCATTGCAAAACAAAACGTAACTCGCTTTGTTTTGCTCATACATACCTTGCCTCACCAAGTTTCATGCTGCGGCTACTTGCCCAAGACTGCTTGAGGGGTGAGGGGAGGGGAGGGGAGGGGAGGGGAGGGGAGGGGCCGGGAGGAGGGGAGGGGAAGGAAACAGCGAGGGAGGGAGTAAGGGAGTGAGGGATTGAGCGCACGAGCGAGTGAGTGAGGGAGGGCACAACCCCAAGCACTCCTTTCGCTCGGGCATCAACTGGCCCCCCAGTCACTTGATGTTTTACCATGCCTAGGCGTACACTCAACAGCAGGCATGCAACAAACACACTATATGGTTCATACGCGGTGAAGTTGGAGCACAAAAAGCTAGTCACTCTGTAAGCAAAAAACTAGCTTACATTTCTGTTGAGCACTCATGCCTCTGCTCAAAATCACCAACAAACCCAAAGCTGACTCAACAAAAAGCAGCCCGCCAAGACGGAGGCCCAGAGGGCGGATTCCCTGGCAACTAGCACAGCGAATGGCAATGGCAGGGCCACTTTGCGTTCTTGCGAGGCTTTGCTGAACATGCTCAAACAACGGTGGCAAAAGGCACTTCCAATCGTCGAGGCAAACTTAGAGTCAGGTTCCAAAAAATGGGGTTGTTGTCCGACGCCGCACGGCTGGTGTGACGTTCACTCACAGCAGCCCCAACGCCCTCCTGGTGCAATTTGGCCTTGTCAACAGGCCGGCGCAGCACGCCACGGGCCCCTTCACAAATCTGCCCAATGTTGGGCCCCTCTATAAGTCTAGCTATGTCTATGTATATCTATTTGTACAATTACATGTTGAGATGCCCTCCCTTGGGCCCCTTCGCAAATCTTCATGCATGCATGTTGGGATACCCGCACCTGGGTTGCCGCCATGCGCCACTTGTGGAGCACGGTCTCCCGTGGCACCACGTCGTCCTTCCAGATCGGGACCAAGAAAGCGTTTCAAAATGGTGGCACGCTTACGAGCCGTGCTTTCCGAGGAAGTCGGGTTGCCGAGGTAGAGACTGCGCGTTGCAGTGATCAAGCTATGCTATGCATTTGCCTATAAGCACTACGTGTGCAGCACACCCACGGAGACAGGCGGGCCGATGTAGTGTTGTTCTTGCTTGTGTTCCCCCCCCCTGCACATCTCTGCGGGACTTGCCGGCGAGGTGCTGATGCTGTGCTACACGCAGGGCTATTGGGTGCGAATTCCAGGCCCGGCAGGCATGCTTCCGGACCACAGACGACGCCACGCAGCCGGGATGGCATCAGTGGGAGATCAACTGGGCACGGACGAAGAGTCCTGATGCCGATGAGCCGGAATAGCGCGACGGCCTGTGGCGAGACGAGACAGCAGTAGACTGCCAGTGGCGTCGCGAAGACCTGACCTCGTTCAGAGACTCGCTATAGTGACGCGCTGCCTGATGTCTTTTCTGTCTCTAGTCGGCCAAAGTCCAGCGAGCGAAGGCATGACATTTCGGCTCGTCCACTGGTATTGTAGGAAGTGTTTGGGTCGGTACTTATCTTTTTCGGCTATATCAGTGTGATCATCGCGTGTCATGATAGTATCATGGTTGCCAGGTCACCTTCTTGCTGTAATATTCTGACTTGTAGAGGACTTTGTTTAACCGAGACCTCGCAGCGTCGGGCGGCCCGCTGCCATGGGGGTGAGTCAAAACTATGTTTGGGCCATCACCATCGGCGCCCTGCAAAAGCCGTATTGCCACAGCGTGATACTGACGGGTGGCGGCTGCTCCTGCTGGACCAAATTCGGTGGGGAGAACTACCCCACGAAGTTGCCGAGAGTCTGCCGAGACTACGAGCAGGGACTGCATTTCGAAGGGATCCTGCGTCGGACCTTGAACGAGAATATTAGGGCGGACGCGGATCCGCCGTGGTATGTGTGTCCGGGCACGTTTTCCGCTCATCTCAGCCGGTACGACTACCGCGCAAAGCATGGCGTCGACTGCCACTCCGATTTGAGCGCCCGCTATGCGGAGTGCGATCCGATTACCAGTATATCCTGGGGGATAAGGTCACTGCTTGGTGTTCGTCCCAACCCCAAGCTTACACCCAAGAAGTCTGCCGCGAGGTCCAACGAGAACGCGCCGGGCGCGTTCTTCTATCAGCAGCGACCTGGGGACATCACGATAATGACGGGGCGATGAGGGGAGATCAACGGGGCACGGACGAAGAGTCCGGATGCCGATAAGCTGGAATGGCGTGACGGCCTGTGGGCCAAGACGAGACAGCAGTAGACTGCCAGTGGCGTCGCAAAGACCTGACCTCGTTGAGAGACTCGCTCTTGTGACGCGCTGCCTGATGTCTTGTGTTTTTCTGTCTCACTTATTAGATAGTCGGATGTTGCAGCTGTCCGGCCGCCCGTCATTCGTCGAACAGGCGTTGGTTAAGGAAAAGGATGACGACCATCTACGTCGACAGCCGCAAGAGGGTGGCCGGCTCGGACAGCGACTTCGAGGTCGACCTGGGAGAGTCCCTGCACCTGCAAAGCGCGCTTGGCCGACAGCTTCCTGTCGACTGACTGGGGTCGCTACCTCTACTGGGTGGAACTGGGCGCTGCCCGAGGGGGCCCACACGGGCACCCGGCTTGCAGCCTGGGTCAGCTCCAACCTACAGCGAGACCACGAACAGCCTGCGACGACAACCGGCTGATTCTGAACGACCTCGAGCTGCGCCAGCAATTCCCCGACGCGGCGCCCCGCCTCGCCACCCGCCTCCCCGACCAAGCCCTTCATGCTTGGCCCGAGCTTCGTCTCGGAAGGGCAGCAGGTCTTCGAGTTTGTCCGGATGATGGCGCACACCGAGGTCCAATATCTCGACCACGTCAAAAAAAATAGGATGGAGCCGACCGAGCCGCAACACGAGGCACTGGAGGCGCAGGAGCAGCACACAGCGCCGGAGGCGCAGGAGGGGGCACGCGGCCGCGATACGCGTCAAGGATCGAAGGGATGCGATCCGAATGCACACTGCGCAAAAACTGCCACGCTGACGGTAGGCCAAAGACTGCGTGCAGGAGGAAGGTAAACCCCGCCTTAGCCGAGCCCGCAATTAACGGGCCCCGATCACGAAGGCGCCGAAGTGCAGTTTCGCGACTCCGCCCGGGGGCAGCGAGAAGTCCAGGCGCGCCCTTGCCAAGTCGCAAGGGGTCATTGGCGCTGCGAAGCGCGGATTCGCTGGCAAGTGCTTGAAACCAAAGGAAGCCAAGAGTCTGGGCAACTGGGAGCTGAACATACGAGGCAGCACGGCCAATGGCGATTTTTACACCTTGATGTTCATTAAGCCCCTTAGCGATCGGTGGACGAACCTTGTTCTGGCGCTTGCGGCAAAAGCCGCTCATGGCAGGCATGTCGCAAAGTCTGGAGCAAGCAGGAAAGGGGCCATATCGGTCCGAGCGACAAAGCACCATCGACAGTCGTGGAGCCCCTGGAAGGGACCACCAACAAAGCTTTATCAAGAGTTTTGCGTTTGAGGCCCGAGCCTGCCCCAACAACGCCGCCTGCGCCCAGGCAGACTTGCGTGAAAAGGCTGCTGGTTGAGTTGTCCCCGGAACGGCGGGTCGATCCCCGGGCTGGTGCAGCAGTCGGCGGGCACGCTGGACTTGTACAGCATGCAGATCAGGGCCACTGCCTTCGAGGGAGAGTCGGTCTAGTTCCCAGTGTTAGCCGTGTTGTTGATGATGAGAGTGCTGCCGGTGATTCCGGTGGCCGAGCTGATGCTCAGCGAGCTGCCCGAGACGGCGCCGGTGGACGTCAGCGTGGCTCCGGCGACGGTGCCGGTGGCCGTGAGCGCTGCGCAGGAGATTGCGTCCAAGGCGTCCACGCCCGTCGTGAACACGTCCGTGCAGTTCACGTCGTTGCACAGCAGCTGGTCGCAGCCCACGTTGCCCTGCGCGGTGAGCCCGTCCAGAGTGGAAGAGTCCGTGAGGGCCAGCGAGTCGGTCAGGGAAGTGTCCACGGGCACCCTGACTGCCTCCGGCGCAGCAACCGCAGCCACCAGGGCGCTCGCGGGCGCCGATCGAGTGTCGACGGGCAGTGGTCTGCGGCGACGTGACGAGCTCGGGCACGGTCTCCGCCCCGCAGCTCTTCGCGTCCAACACGCTCACCGTGACCAACACTCCGACTTCTCGGACGATCTCACGCTGCGTGCAGGCATGGCTTCTGGAAAAGCCCGCTGCGCCCGACGACGCGCTGCGCAAGCGGCCTCGCGAAGATGCGCTGCTCGAGGCCGAGCGCTCGCACCAGCGCCGCCGCATCGAGCTCCTCAGGAGGAGATCATGCGCCCGCGGAAGACGACCGATTTCTTCGCCTTCCGGCGGAGCTGGCTGCTTGAGGAGGATTTGGACCGGGCCTGACATGCTCGAATGGTCCCAAAAAAACCCGCGCAGCCTCTTTAAGCGATGACTTCCTCGATGGCCTTCCACTGCGTGCACGCGTGGCTTCTGGAAAAGCCCGCCGCGTGGGTGGGCGAGGACGCTCCTAGTCTCGCAGCCGCTCTGATGGCCCAGCGGCCTCCCTGCGACGCGCTGCGCATGCAGCCTCGCGAAGATGCGCTGCTCGAGGCCGAGCGCTCGCACCTGAAGGTGCTGCTGGCATTCCTCGAAGAGCGAGAAATAGCAAGCCCGCGTAACTGATGCGGCTCCGTTGATTTGGCAGCATGGGCCACTGCCTCCGCCGGCCCGCTCCGCTAGCGACGCAACTCTCTCTTTAGAGGGAGTTTCCCCAAATGGATTCTATTCCACCTGGTAGGCTCCTGACACTCGTCCGTCCAGGAAACGACCTCGTCCTGCGAAGGAGTCGAAATCTAAAACGCTGCGTGCAGGCGTGTGGCTGCAACATAACGACCCCGAGATATGCGCCGCAATTTGCCTCCATGCATTCCAAGCGAGCCAAGCTTTGCAGGGCTAAAAAAAAAGTCCCCAAAACAAGGGTCCCAAAAAAAGGGAAAAGGGGTTTCCTTTCGCAAAGCTTGACATCGCTTGGAATGCAACCTGGAGGCAAATTGCGGCGCATATCTCGGGGTCGTTATGTTGCAGCCACACGCCTGCACGCAGCGTTTTAGATTTCGACTCCTTCGCAGGACGAGGTCGTTTCCTGGACGGACGAGTGTCAGGAGCCTACCAGGTGGAATAGAATCCATTTGGAAAACTCCCTCTAAAGAGAGAGCTTGGTCTGCTCTGCAAAGAAGTGTGCTCTGCAAAGAAGTGTGCTCTGCAAAGAAGCGCAAGTGTGCTCTGCAAAGAAGTGTGCTCTGCAAAGAAGCGCAAGTGTGCTCTGCAAAGAAGAGTGCTCTGCAAAGAAGTGTGCTCTGCAAAGAAGCGCAAGTGTGCTCTGCAAAGAAGTGTGCTCTGCAAAGAAGCGCAAGTGTGCTCTGCAAAGAAGCGCAAGTGTGCTCTGCAAAAGAAGTGTGCTCTGCAAAGAAGCGCAAGTGCGCTCTGCAAAGAAGAGCGCTCTGCAAAGAAGTGTGCTCTGCAAAGAAGTGTGCTCTGCAAAGAAGCGCAAGTGTGCTCTGCAAAGAAGTGTGCTTTGCAAAGAAGAGGAAGTGTGCTCTGCAAAGAAGAGTGCTCTGCAAAGAAGCGCAAGTGTGCTCTGCAAAGAAGTGTGCTCTGCAAAGAAGCGCAAGTGTGCTCTGCAAAGAAGCGCAAGTGTGCTCTGCCAAGAAGAGGAAGTGTGCTCTGTCAAAAAGATCCATTGTTGACTCAAGATGACTCAAAATTGACTCCCTCCACCCTGCCGCGCCACCTGCCCGGCATCGAAGCCTCCACCCTGCCGCGCCACCTGCCCGGCGTCGAAGCCTCCAGCCTGCCGAGCCCGCGCCACCCGGGGTCGGAATTCTTCCCAGGAAAAAAATGTAAGTCCTCCCGTGGGGCGAGGACTGCAGCGCGCTTTCTGCGAGGTCGGAATTCCGACTTCGCTCTCCCACCAAGGTCGGAATTCCGACTTCGCTCTCCCACCGAGGTCGGAATTCCGACTTCGTTCTCCCACCGAGGTCGGAATTCCGACTTCGCTCTCCCACCGAGGTCGGAATTCCGACTTCGCTCTCCCACCGAGGTCGGAATTCCGACTTCGCTCCCCCACCGAGGTCGGAATTCCGACTTCGCTCTCGTCGGAATTCCTCTCCCACCGAGGTCGGAATTCCGACTTCGCTCTCCCACCGAAAAACCCATCGCCGGGCCAGCGCCGAAGGTCCGGCAGTGACATGGTTCTCGCCAGATCGCTGCCGGAGTCGCCTTGCCGTCAATCCTGTTGCCAGCAAAGGATTGCTCCACTCAATCCTGTGTTGGGCACAGGATTGCTCCACTCAATCCTGTGTTGGGCACAGGATTGCCCCGGTGCACTACCAGCAGCTCGGGCTTGGAACCGTTCTTGCCCGAGCGCAGGCTCGTGATAGAGCTCCCGCGCCTCTGGCACGTCGTTGACGCTCACGACGAAGGGCAGGCCGCTCGCAAAGAGCGCGTCTCGTAGTTCCGAGTGGAAGGCCAGGTCGTGGCCCTCCCCCCTCGCGCCATAGTAGTTCATGGTGCGACCGGGGAAGATGTAGGGAGGGTTGGCGTAGATGCAGGTTTGCTGGGGCGCCGGGCACTGCCCTGCCCGCAGGTAGGCCAGTGCGTCCTGGTGCCGCACGGTCACATTCGACGGTGGCTGCTGCAGCCGACGCACGCAGCTCGAGGGCAGTGGCTGCTGCTGCCGTGCGAAGGAGCCCCACTTTCCCGAGAAGCTGTTGCGCAGCAAGGCGTATGAGCAGGCCGCCCTGCGCCCGGCAGGGCCTCTCAGCGCGCCCGGCAGGAGGCGCCTGAAGTAGAAGTGCCTGTCCACGTCGCGCCCCACCAGGCGCGCCAAAAAACGCAGGAAGACCGGGTCTCGCCTCAAGTAGCAGCGGTGCAGGTTTGCGACGGGCTCGAAGGCGTCGGCGCCACGCACCTCCAGGCCCGGGCGCCGGGCGGCAAGGTAGTACTCTAACTTTCCGGAACCGAAGAAGGGCGAGTGTAGCACCGTGACGTCGCCCAGCAGCCGGTCCAGGTGTGGAGCGAGCCACGACTTGCTTCCCATGTACTTGAGCTGCATGCCTTTAGTTTCAAAGGGACGAATGGGGAAGATCAAGCTTTTTCCTACGCCTGAATACACCAGCAAGCAATCCTCGGACCCCGTGCTGCTCCTGGTGCCGTGCACCGGCATCTTCCTCGGGCCTTCGAAATCAGGCAAAACCGTGGCTCTGATCAGCTTGGTTCTGGAGCAGTATCGAGGCGTCTTCGAGAGAATCTACATCTTCAGCCCAAGTGTCAACATCGATGACGGCTGGATCCCCGTCAAGAAGTACATCGAGGGGGACCTGGGGGTGAACACCGAGCGGGAGCAGGCCTACTGGGACGAGTGGGACGAGGCGGCGCTGCGCCGCATCATCCAGCAGCAGCGCAAGATCACGGAGGCGTCCAAGAAGTTGGAGATGAAGAAACTACCAGGCGCTTGTAGTCATCGACGACATGGCCGACATGCCGCAGCTCCACAAACCCAACGGCGCCCTTGACACGCTCTTCATCCGAGGCCGTCACATGCAGATCAGCACCTGGGTGAGCTCCCAGAAGCTGAGGCTCATCAGCGCAGCCGTGCGGGTGAACATACAATTCCTCTGCTGCTGGAGGCTGCGCAACCAGCACGAGCTGGACGCTGTCGTCGAGGAGCTGAGCGCACTGCTGCCGAAGGAGCAGCCGAGAACCCTACAGTTTCCTCTTCGTGTACTACCTGAAGCCGAAGAACGAAATGTTCGACAAGCGCTTCGAAGAGCGTTTTGTAATTGAGAAAGACGCCGATGGGAGCGGCGCTCAGCTTCCTGGGCCAGAAGCTGTTCGCCAGCTCCACGCTGATCAACGCGAAGTGTGAGAACATCTCCTGCTGCACCTCCGTCGCAGCCGTCCAGTCGCCCATCGTTCGCCGGACGGGTGGCTTCCTAAAGAAAAGGATGACGACCATGGACAGCCGCAAGAGGGTGGCCGGCTCGGACAGCGACTTCGAGGTCGACCTAGGAGAGTCGCTGCACCTGCAGAGCGACGCCCGCCTCGCCGTCTACAAGATCCGGTTGGCCGACAGCTTCCTGTCCACGGACCGCGGCCGCTACCTCTACTGGGTCGACGCCGCGCTCGGCACGCTGAACTGGGCGCTGCTGCCCGAGGGCGCCTATGCGCCCGGCTGGCCGCCTGGGTCAGCTCCAACTTTGCCACCGCCACCTATAGCGAGACCACGAACAGCCTGAGCGTCGCCTACGACGGCAACCGGCTGATTCTGAACGACCTTGAGCCGCCAGCAATTTCCCGACGCGGCGGACTACCCCGCCGCGCCGCCTGCCTCTCCGACGAAGCCCTTCAGCGTGGACCACATGCTGGGCCCGAGCTTCGTCTCCGGCGGGCAGCAGGTCTTCGAGTTTGTCAGCAGTTGGCCAACGCCAGCTGAGTGCTGGGCAACCTGGGCGACGACATCCTGTCCAAGATCAGCGTGGGCACCATCGTGGAGACGGGCTCGGACGACGGGCACTTCATGGCCCTGAGGGGCCCTGTTACCCTGAGGCACCTGCGCTTCCGGCTGACCGACCTGGACGGCAATCGTCCGGCTTCGAGGGTCGTCTTTGTCGTTCGTGTTATATCTTGACCACGTATAATTAAAAAGGATGGAGCCGACCGAACAAGACAGGGCGCCGGAGGCGCAGGAGGCGCAGGAGGAGGAACAGCACGCTGCGCCGGAGGCACCGACGCCGGAGCCGAAACGACGGGGCAGGCCTCCTGGCAGCAAGAACAAACCGAAGCAGGACGTGCCCACCGAGCCGGCTGCCCCGAAGCGCAAGCCAAAGCCGCCTCCGGCCGAGGCACCACCAGCGGAGGCACCACCAGCGGAGGCACCACCAGCGGAGGCACCACCGGCAGAGGCACCACCGGCAGAGGCACCACCGGCAGAGGCACCGCCGGCCAAGGCACCTCAGCTCACGAGAGAGCAGCAGCGCGCCCTGCGCATGCTGGAGAGGCAGTCCGCCTATGATGGTTGACGACAGGCGCAAGCGTACTGGTATAAAAGCAAGATGATGTCCATCGAGCCCCGCAACGAGCCGCAGATGCTCCGGTGGTTCCGCAAGACCTACCCCAGCTACAACCTGCAGCCGCTGCTGCTGAAGCGCTACCGAGAACTGGAGGAGGCGCGGGCCTTCAACAACTGGCTGGGCAAGCGCAGGCAGGCGCAGGAGGGGCAACGAGGGCGCTGCAAGACAACGCCGACAGGTTCCAAGGCCATAGAGGACGCGGGGGCGTTTCGGGCGCCCACCAACGCGGCGAGGAGCTTCAATCCCCAGTACGGCGACGTGCAGCGGCTGGCGGCCGTGGACTCCATGACCGTGCGGAGCACCGAGGGCCGGGAGACCCTGCTCGAATCTCGACCTTAGAGCGATCCCTGGACCCCGCCCAAAACGGCCATTCAGTTTGTGGATGCAAGCCTGACACCCATGGAACATGTGAAGCCTGTTGTGACCTTAAGTCCGCCCTGCTCCCACCTGCTAGCGCGATTTTTGTACACTCACAAAAGTTTCAGCACATCCAGCTGCGCAATGATGGTCTCGCAACTCATGAGAGAGTATTTCTTCTCCTCCTGACGTCTGGCCCATGTCTCGTTTGTAAAGGACTGCCAGCCTTCAGACTCACTGCAAAGTTTTCCTTACCTGCATCCTTTTTCTTTCCATAACGACATTGCGCAGCAATGAACTCGAGCTTACCAGTTGCCTTGCATCTCACAGGGATCAAAAGGTCGTGGTGAGCCGTTGCAAAATTCCAGTTGGACTTGATGGCCTTCCCAACGTCACTGACTCATGACAGTTGCTTCATTGCCTTGGCCGCTTGGATATTCCACACTATCACTCCAGCAAACTTCGAACGGCTCCAAAACAGCTCGCAAATGTGGATCCTCCGTAGGGTAGATCTCCAAAAAAGGGACCCTGCCCCTGGCATTTGCAACCAGCTCTTCCCACTTCTCCCCCCTTTCAGTGGCACCCCTTGTTGGGCTGTTGAGCAACTGCAAGGAATCTGGCAGGAGCCCCTCCAGGTCAATGTTCAGCATTGGTATCCTCACACCACCACAGCCGTGGAACCAGTACCTCAGTGAGGTTCCGGGCACAAGCTGGTGGCCTTCTGCAGGCCATCGAACCGCCGAGCAAAGAACCAACGCCAAAGCCACTTCTGGCTGATTGAAGTAGGGGGCTGCATCCGCATACGAGCTTCTGAACTCCTGCGACATGGCATTGAGTGCAACCTGAGCAACCGACCAACAAAAACGATCCCATACCAGCCCACGCTCCCATGCCTGAGATCTTGTTTTGGACGCCACATGCCCTACAGCACACTCCGCATCTTTTAAACTTTCTCCATGCTGGTTCGCGTCTTCGGAACCTGCGCCACCTGTACATGCACATTCTTAAACACTTTGTTTGGCTCCCGCGCCATCTCCATGAAGGCTCTGAACTCCTGTCCTGACTCCGGGGCGAACTTTGTGGGGTCTCCCGTAGTGAAAAAAGAGAGAGTGAAACTGTACTGTCCCTTGCAGTGTTGGAAAATGTCCCGCAGCTTTTCTAGAAAGCTCTTTGCGATGCTGTGCTTGGGACCAGTTGTCGCGGAGATGCCATGATTCAAGCCTAGCAAGTAATCGACGCCTACGTACTGTTCCGGGCTTTGCAGAAGGCATTTCTCAAGGCTGCCGTTCTTCACGGCCTGGCTCCATTTTCGCTCAAATATGTCCTTAGTGTCGCACCTCAGCAGCTGCAAACCCGCGTCAATCACCAAAGAGTCGCACTGAGTCCGTTCCCAGTTGGCTTTGCCTATCGAATTCTTGTCAGTGATGTGGTAGGCGTCAAACTTCTTCGGAAACCACAAGCAGGTCAGAAGGGGTCCAAGGAAGTCTTCAAACCAGTACCTGGAACGTGGATCGTTCTTGGTCCAGAGGTCAGCAAGCTTGTCATAGTGCTTATCTGCTATCATCTCTGCGGCCTTGGGGGAGACAACTTGGGCCGTGCCAATTTTGCCGTCCACGGTGACGTACGTGAAGAGCCTCGTCAACAGCTTGTTGCCTTGGTTGTCAAGAACACCGCCAAAAGCAGGCTGCAAGCCCTTCCAATCGTCAGCTTGATCTTTTTGATCCTGAAGGTACTTCTGGAAGCTTCCATCGTCGTCCAACAGGGCACGCAGGTTGCCCCCAACATGTTGAAACCTGCGCAACACCGTGTCCTTGTCGACCGGAGGCTGTGCAAAATGCACATAGGCCAGTTCCAGCTCGGCCTTCTTCCATGCTTCTACGTACACACAAGCCCCACCGCTCTTCACAAAACCTGTGTAGTGCTCCCTGTCGGGGCTGCAGGCCTTGACAGTCTTGGCACGCAGCTTATATGTGGTCTCCTTGCCGTAGGTATCCACCAAATACCAGTTGTCACTGTTCCGCAGGTGCTCGCAGTCGCTTGCATCCCACTTGCCAATCGGCAGGCTCTGCCCTTTCCAGCCGTCCTTGTTGGTGAAGACGAAAACGAAGCCGCCCTCCCAGGCCTCGTAGACGATGGCCTGGGGCTCTTTGATCCACTCCGGGCGGTGGCCCGACACCAGGTGCCACAGGCCCAGCGCCAGGGACCGGCTCTTGCCGATGCCGGGGATCCCCAGCATGGCCACGCGCCTCGTGCCGTCCTTCATCAGCTCGAAGGTGGCCTTCCAGGCCTGGCGCGTCGTGCTCCGCGTCAGCAGCTTCCTCCCGCTCAGGTCGTAGGGCTCTGCGGGCAGGCACGTCTTGAGGTCGAAGACCTGCACGCCCCAGTGTGGCTTCAGCAAGAAAAGCAAAACTGGCATCCCGCCGTCCTGCCGGCCTTCGCCGAGGTCCTTGGGCATGGCGTTGACCAGCTCCTGGATGAACGCCGTGGCATCTGGGTCATCCTGCAGCCGCGATCACACACAAGGCGCGAGCCATGACACAAGCCGTCCTTGATCCCGCTTGCCTGCACGGCATACGACGGACAAGACAGGAAAAGATGACGCATGAGCTGTTCGAGAATCGAGCATCAACGACTGGAACAAAAAGTAAAACAGCACAATCCAGCATGGACACAAAGCTGGGGATGCATGAGCTCAACCATCCATTCGTGGGGCTCCACAGTGAGTCGCATCATGCGCCAACAATGCAGCCAGCTGAAGCCCAAAAAAATGCGCTGTGCTGTGCCCAAACGCGATCTTGGGATTTCATGGTTCTGTGGATGCGATCACAGCAAAAATACACTGTGCACACTTTGGCAATCTCCTCCATGCTCGTGCTGTCGGAACAAAATTTCACCTTCGGATTGCATTGTGTCTGCAGCAGCAACGACCATGGCAGAAGGGTAGGTCTTGCTCTTCAAAAGGCAGGCGACTGGAACAGCAGGCTCTTCCTCGACTGTTTGATAGTTTTGCGCTCCACTAACCACTCACGCCAAATCTGGCAGATATGAACAGGTACGGAGAAAATTGAACAACAGAAGGGGATGGAATGGCAGCAAAACGGGCAAAACATCGAGCAAGAACACTGCGAGTGGATGCAAAGCCGGGAATGGTTGAGCTCACTGCATCAAAGAGAACATTCATAGAATGCACTTGTGCCTGCAGCAGCAAGGGCCCCAATGGGTGCAAAGACATCAGAGTTTGCCCTCCCTCTCCCCGGCAGACGGGCAGGTCTTGCTCTTTCAAAAGCAGGCTGGGGGCAAGCGCAAAATCACTCACAACGATCAACGTCACGTCTCAATCAATGTCGACCAGCAGGAATGACCGACCTCCAACAAGGAAAGGCAACTCCATACCGAGCCTGCCAACGACACGAACCGCCGCAATCTGCAAAAATGCTATCTTGGAATTTCCTGGTTCTCTGGATGAGATCAGGGCAGCCCCACCAAAACCATGCGCGGGCCGCGCGGGGAATTTCAGAACCGCACGCAACGATCAGAGTCCCAGAACGCAGCCGGCCGGCGGAAGCGACCGACTCCGCCCGCCTCGGACTCCTTCGTCCGGCCGCTTGCCTTCGCCGCCTGCACCTCCTTCTTCGCCCTCTCCACCTTCCTCTCCGCCTTCTCCACCTCCTCCTTGGCCTCCTTGACCTCCTCCTTGGCCTCCTTGACCTCCTCCTTGGCCTCCTTGACCTCCTCCTTGGCCTCCTTGACCTCCTCCTTGGCCTCCTTGACCTCCTCCTTGGTGCCTGATTCCTCCGCCTTCTCCAATCTGGCGGCGGCTTTAACCAGACTCTTCATCACCATCTCCACCTGCTGCTGGGCAGTCTCAACCTGCCGCTGGGCGCTCGCTTGCTGCTGTCGCGCCAGGAGCAGGTCCTGCCCAGCTCGACTCACACACCGAAGCGGCGCGCACAAACAGACGGCCTCGTTCAAGCCCTTTGAGGCTGCTTTGGCCTGTGTCACAAAGAATGCCACGACATGTGAACTCACCTTTTGGCAAAAGAAGCAAACAGTCCTGCCTCCTCCACAAACTCGCGCAGTTTTTGTTGCAACTCGTCTTTCAGACCTGAAAGGGTCCACTTCCCTGGATATATCTGCTGCGTTTTTCCTGAGCTCAACACTTTCACCGCTCTTGCAACCCCGACCCACGTGCTGCTCCAGCGGCGCAAGACGGCTTTGGTCTCTTTCGCCGCGCCGTTGTCCTCCAGCACCCTGTCGGCTTCTGCGACCACCTGAGCGAGGCCAAGCTGGGACGTCGCTTTCTCTGAAGGCCCGCCGCCTCCTTGAGATCGAGCCGGTCCTGACAACCAACAAGCCCAACGTTCAAGCCCGATGCACGTGTCCCCCAGGCCTGGCCACGGTTGTCCTGGCGGCAACCGGCAAAAGATGCGAACAGGCTTCGGGTCGGAGGAGTCCTCTTGCGCAGCCCCGGCGCGCCGAGCGACTCCGGCATGCAACGGGTGCCGTTTTGCCTGAAAAAGCCAAAGTGCAATCTGCTTGCGCCTGCGGGCAACTCTGAGAACTGGGCCAATATGCTGTCCTGGCACTCAGCACGAAACAAGAACATCCAAAGCAGGGATTCATGCTCCTTCAGCCCAGGAGCTCATCGAGCAAAGTCCTGGGCGGCGGCGACAAGGGACTCCTGAAACCCGAAAACCTTCGAAAAAAATGCGTCCCAAGACCCAGGCCGTGCTCGGCTGCACGAGCAGCGCCAATGCAATCCCGAGAAGGCAGAGGCACATACCTGGCCGCTGCCTACCGCGGGCACGGTAGCGTCACAAGCTTGCCAGCCTCGGCTTTTGGTCCTGGTCCGCATCATCGCCATGGCTATTCGAAAAGCGCTTGAGCGGCCTGCGATTCCTCAAGCACTGGCACTAGACCCATCGGGCAACCATTGCGAGCTGTTGTTGTGTCAGTGTTGATGAGTACCCTCGAGCCAAGTTTCCAGAGCAAACACAAGATTGACTGGCTTCTTTGGCAACACCAACGCACGGGTTTGGATGCTCCTCCTCCTTTTCACTCGCGGCCTGAAGGTCGGTCGGGCCAAGCCTTGCAAGGCTTCGCAGCGTCCATCCGTCAGACTGGCTGACCCACATCCTGCCGCTGCATCAAAGTCCAAGCGAGATACCAAACTGCTTTCCGAGTGCGCTCGGCTATCTCTCGATAGCACTGGGTGGCGCGATGGCGCTGCCACGAGGCCTTCTTGGTGAAGCGGGCCATGCACCTCGGGCACTTGCTTGCAGCCGCCTGCGTTGCTGGGCGTGGCTCCCAGGGTCAGCCCCTGTCTGCTGGCCAGCGCCTGGAAGTTGTGGATCAGGCTGTAGTGGCCGCTGTGCAGGAGAAGCAGCACGGTGTGCTGGACGACGCCCGTGCCGCTCGGGGCGCGCAGCTGGAGGATGTGGTAGTACTCCCGCCCGTCCGCCCACAGGGTTTGCTGCCACACGAAGACGAAGACCTCCACCCGCCCGGCGTTGCGGAGCTCGAAGGCCTCGATGTCGTCGAAGCCGGCCAGAGCGGGCTGCCAGCCCGCGGGGCGGCGTCCGCGGCGGGTCATCTCGGGGTAGAAGAAGGAGCCCGAGCAGCTCACGGTCCTCTTCCGCTCGGTCTTGTTGAGCCCTTCGACCCCGAGGCAGTGCGCGAGGACGCACCACATGAAGCAGCGGTGGTCCTCGTTCTGAGGGTTCCAGATGGCCTTCTTCTTGGCCAGGGTCTCGGGCAGCTCCTTCCAGCAGCCGCCTCGTTGGGCGGCGGGGGCGCGGGCATGTCGGCCAGCTGCTGCGAGGGAGCA